GGCATTGGAGGTTTGTGACACCCTTGGATGTTAGCTTTCGGAGTCTTAAAGGCATCATCGATACTGCGATTGAGGACTTTGCTATGGTACCCCACTGTTATGTGGAACCGTCTCTTCTGTATGCTTAGTCATGCTGACATTCTGACTTTCAGNTGGGGTCTTAAAGGCATCATCGATACTGCGATTGAAGACTTTGCTATGGTACCCCACTGTTATGTGGAACCGTCTCTTCTGTATGCTTAGTCATGCTGACATTCTGACTTTCAGAAATTTGTAGATGGCTACGGCTTTTTGAGGACACTCAAAATCGACGAGGTGTCGATAGCTTTGGCAGAAGAGAGACCTGGGCACCAAACTGCAGATGAGCAATTAAGGTTGGCTCATGAGAGAGCAATAACTCTTAAGGCTGAGCTTCTGGAAAATGAGGATGCTTGTGTATATGTACATGCAGGGTTAGATCGAGCTTCTGGGAGACCAAGGCTGCTTCAAAGCAGAGATAGAATTAGGTCAAGCTTTTGGTGACTCGTAAGAGCGCCGCTAAACTAGAGGCTGAGGTTGCCTACGTGAGAGCCGAGAAAGAATGAGGCCAAGATTTTGATGACTAACGAGAGAGCTGCTAAGCTGGAGATTGAGGTTTCTTGCATGACAGTAGAGGTAGAATGAGGCCATGCTTTTGGAGACTCGCGAGAAATTCGCTAAGTTGGAGACATAGGCTGCTTAAATGAGAGTAGAGACAGAGTTAGGCCGAGCTTATGGAGACTCGCGAAAGAGACACTAAGTTGGAGATTGAGGCTGCTTGCATGAGAGTAGAAGCAAAATAAGGCCAAGCTTTCTAGCCACTCGTGAGAGAACCGCTAAGCTGGAGATTGAGACTACTTGACTAAGAGCAGATGCAGAGTTAGGCTAAGCTTTCTAGCAACTCGTGAGAAAGGCACTAAGTTAGAGATTGATACTGCCTACCTGAGAACAAATACAGAGTTAGGCCACGCTTTCTTGTGAGTCGTGAACGAGGCGCTAAGCCAAAGATAGAGACTGTTTGTCTAAGAGCAGACGCAGAGTTAAGCCAAGCTTTTGGTGACTCGGGAGAGAGCGTGTGACGCCCCAAAATTTGGGGTGCCCTTTATTAACCGTTGATAACTCATCAACCCACAAAAATACCCATGATTGTCGTATGATCCGACACCACGTCAATAGTCTCCCAATTGTTGGGATTATAACTCACACATGAAACCCGTGTACTTTTTATTATTTAATCTAACCGTGGACCAATGTACCCCATTTCATTCTCCATTATAGTCCATTTGCATTATAGGGACTAAAGGATACCTAGCCCAAAGGCCTGGGAAAAGGATTTTAAAAAAAATTAAATTCAAAGTTTGGGAAAACGTATCGGTACTGTGTATCGGTACGATTTTCTTTCTAGACCAGACTGTACCAGTACACTTTGTCCAGTTTTGCCTTTTTCACCTGTTTTCCATTTTCAATCTATTTCAAACCATCTCATTTTCATCCAAAACATGCATGATGGAGTTTTTCACATAAACCCTCATTTTTACAAGTCATTACAATTAATTTACAATGCCAAAAACGAGGTTTTAACAAAAGTTTACAAAAAACTAAGGTTAAATACCACAAGTCGGCCCCTCTTCACCCTTGAGGCTCCTAATAAGGACCATCCGCCCGAGTGTATCCCACACCTAAAATGTTTTTCCGTATAGGGTGAGCCATGCTCAGTAGAATATTTCCTACAGAGGTTACTCCCCACCTAAGTGCACATATAATGTTTACATTCAACAAACCACAAACAACATTCTTTTTAATCAAGACAATGTAATCCTATGTTGGGGATTTTGACATGTCATGCTATGAAGTGAGATGAGACTCGTTCATGCGTTTTAACCCGAGTCCTCATCGACTCCCATAATACAATGCAATGTACTTGTATAATGAATCCGTCAATTGACGAAAATACGTCCAATGACTGTTTGAAATAAAGTTGTGTTTTTATAAAATCAAATCATTGATGGATGTTACCCATTGAATGGGTATTTTTATAAAATAAAATCTTGTGTCTTTGTTGGGCAACGGATTTTAGAATCTCACTGTCGGCTCCGTAAGCCTTTCTACATTTTTTAGACTTGCACCGTCGGAGTGTATGAACCAAATAACCGGGCTTTACACCCGAGGGAGAATCTAGCCCTGCTTGTTATACCCAACATAAATTTTCTTTTTCTATGCAACCGTGGAACTCTATTGAACCTTGGTCCAATAGTGCCGAGCCCACTTGTCATCCATTGAGGATGGTGTTTGACCCAAACCATGCACACACTCATACCCACACCCATGTCTCATGCCCATGGATGTGATGTTTTTGTGCAAATGCAATGTAATACACTATTGCTATCTCAATGTTATGCTTCATATGTAATGGGTGCCATGTGAGCAAGTTAAGTCGCATAATAACATATTCAATGGCAATCTATATCTCATGCATATAATTACCAATTTCATCACCATGTTAATACATCAATAAACACATATCAACATNTCGACTCCCATAATACAATGCAATGTACTTGTATAATGAATCCGTCAATTGACGAAAATACGTCCAATGACTGTTTGAAATAAAGTTGTGTTTTTATAAAATCAAATCATTGATGGATGTTACCCATTGAATGGGTATTTTTATAAAATAAAATCTTGTGTCTTTGTTGGGCAACGGATTTTAGAATCTCACCGCCGGCTCCGTAAGCCTTTCTACATTTTTTAGACTTGCACCGTCGGAGTGTATGAACCAAATAACCTGGCTTTACACCCGAGGGAGAATCTAGCCCTGCTTGTTATACCCAACATAAATTTTCTTTTTCTATGCAACCGTGGAACTCTATTGAACCTTGGTCCAATAGTGCCGAGCCCACTTGTCATCCATTGAGGATGGTGTTTGACCCAAACCATGCACACACTCATACCCACACCCATGTCTCATGCCCATGGATGTGATGTTTTTGTGCAAATGCAATGTAATACACTATTGCTATCTCAATGTTATGCTTCATATGTAATGGGTGCCATGTGAGCAAGTTAAGTCGCATAATAACATATTCAATGGCAATCTATATCTCATGCATATAATTACCAATTTCATCACCATGTTAATACATCAATAAACACATATCAACATTTTGTTCTCCAACAACCAATCACATGTATGTTATTACATAATATATGTCAATAACACACTTTATTCACCAAGCAATAATGTAAACACATAGCATACCACTTTCTCCCAAAATTTCATGGGATTACACAAACACTTTCACCTTTCAAATTCAAGCAAGAAGTTCATTTAGGTCATTTCTAGACCTATCCCCTTGTTTCCATGACTATAGGTAAGTCATAATTCATTCCACACATATAACCATTCCATAAGAACATCTTAGGGTAGAAGTGAACCGGAGTAGGAGGGAATCCTACCTCTTGGAGCGTGATAGGAGTGTGGAGAACCTCAAGAACACCTCCAAAGTTTGAAATCTTGATATTCCCAAAATCTTCCCTTTGGATCTTCGGTGAAATTCTTNATTTGAAATCTTGATTTTCCCAAAATCTTCCCTTTGGATCTTCGGTGAAATTCTTCATTTTTGGTACGTACGTCTAGCCCTCGCCACGTAAATGAACTTTAAATCTTGGCTCGACGGATTCCGACCGACGGAACTCCGAGAATTGATAAAAGAAACATTAGTTTTCTCTCTTTTCTCTCCCTCTTTCTCCCACACGTTTAAGGGCTGAAATGCAGGGATACTTTTGCTGAAATATCTGATTTTTAACCCTATTTATAATTTTAAAGACTTGGCTCATATCGAGCCACACGCCCCTCACTTGTCTGGGTTCGTTTTTGCCCTGAAACGATTTATTTCATCCCAATTTAAGTTCAAATTAATTTTATTTAAAATTTTATTTAATTATAAGAAAATTTATAATTTTTATTTTTAGAGACCTTTGAAAGTTCATTCGTCACCCAATTGTCTCATAAAACATGTAAAATTCGACTATCTCGGAATCAGACAAAAATTGACAGGGCAGCTCGATATCGCGACATGAATCCAATGGTGAGATTCGTTGCGTCATCCGAGCTCTAGAAAAATACTAATTTTAAATATATATTATAATGACAAATTACCATTTTATCCTTTTTCAGAAAAAGTTCAAAATTTCCTGGATTTTGCAGAGCGTGAAGCTAAAGATTAAGGTTGTCTGCCAGAGAGTAGATGCAAAGTTAGGCCAAGCTTTTGGAAACTTGGGAGAGAACGTCAAACTGGAGATTTAGGGTGCTTGCATGAGAGCACTGCTGGACGCTGAGGCACGTTCGTTGCTGGGTCTTTGCTAGTTGAATTCAAGGATTCCAATTAGCTCAAGAATTAGAATCAGTTCAACACTACAATCCATGCAAGGCAAGTTCTTTAAAGAGCCAGATCTTATAGAACAAAGATGATGGCGAGAAAGTCTTGGTAGACCTGCAAAATAAGAGAAAATCTAGGTGAACCGATGGCCGAAGGCTGTCAAAGGGACTCCGATGCTTAACTCAGTAAGTGAATCAAAGAAAACTTATATGGTGAATAGGCTATAATTCCATGACATACTTGATACCCGAAACCTTTATTTGTAATGGTATAGGAAATGGTGTTTCATATGGACTCAAATTTCAGGTTGTGATAGGATAGACTTTATCACCAATCTNGTTTGTAATGGTATAGAAAATGGTGTTTCATATGGACTCAAATTTCAGGTTGTGATAGGATAGACTTTATCACCAATCTGCTAGTCATTCGAGGTAGAGTCGTATTAAGATGTTAGGTCCTAGATTTTAGGATGATGTGTGCTCGCCAAGAGGCGTTGTTTATCAACAGTCCTTTGATACTCGGAGTAAATTTTCAATAGGGCTCTACGTCCTGCGTCAATTTCGGAAGCGTGGCAGCAACTTGGCTCTGCTAGCAGAGATTATGTCCCATAGTTCCCAACAAAAAAGAGCTGGCAAGAAAGCTAGTCACTGGGATATCAAAAAAGCATTGATTTCGAGGAAGGTGTATTCGGGGTCGACCACAATTTCCCCAGTAAGAGATAGAATCTCACTAATTGGAAGGAAAATGAGGACTTTGATCCATTGTGATTCGCTTCTTTGGTGTGGAGAGATCTCCACCAAAAAAGAGATAGCTTATAGGCTGGGGAACAGCCACTGCCGGGCACGGGCGCCAGACATTGGTGAGTATGAGCGCCGGGTGCTAGGAAAAAATGCCTATGACCTATAATTACTCAAATTCTACTTAGAGAGGATCGCTTTGGGAATCCATGGAAGACGCTCTTGGAACAAGAGGTGACACCAACTCAATGGGCCAGTTGGGTAGGTGATTTGGGAGATGTCAAGATAAAGGCACTAGGTGAGGGAGGCGAAGGCTCCAAGCGAAGTAGTCTGGTCGTGCCATGCAGGCACAAAGTGGTGCTAAGCTGGGCGATGCCTTGCAGGTGCAGAGGCTGCACCAAGCTACTGCCAGAGTGATAGGCACTGTAGGCACGGGAGCCGAGGATGTGGGCGAAGCCCTTGGAACAAGAACCGGCACCAATGTACCATTTAGGTGACGCAATTGGAGTAAGAGCTGACGTCATTGCCAAGTTGGGTGACATAGTAGTAGGCGACGCTAGCAGCTAGTTGGGTGACGACCATAGAGTAGGAGGTGACGCTAGTAGCTGTAACGCGTGTAGAGGCGTTGGTCCAAGCACTGTCACTGCTGGTGCTGAGGTGTTAGGCGATGCCATGGTGGTTTGGGCAATGCCATGGTGGTTTGGGCAATGCCAGGTGGGCACTAGCCATGGCCTGGGTGAAGCCAGGCGACGGCGAGGAGGCAGGGCTCAAGGCATGTTACACCCTTGTGTAGCTAGCCTAGGGACGCTAGCTTGGGCGACGCCTTCGTGCAGGGATCAGCGGGCGACACCTTCGGTAAGGGAGCAGCAGGGTGCAGACGCTAGGCACAAGCACTAGGCGCTAGGCACTTGGGGCACTAGTAGGATGTGGGCGATGCCATTGGCTGTCTGGGCAATGCCTTGGAGTAAGGTCTGGGTGACGCCAGGAGGGACTGGCACTCGCTGCCGCTGGCAATGAGATGTTGGGTGGAGTATTAGACAATGATGAAGAAATGATGAAAATTTGAACAGCCATAACTTTGTACTCAGTTATATGTTTGAAGCTATTTTTTTTTTTTTTTGAAAAAGTGGATTTTCATGTGTCTACTTTCATCGGTGGTGGGAGGACCTGGTCATGATGTGGTGGGTCATCTTCTACTTGGCGGTTCATGGATCTGATTATTCTTGCCATTGGAGGTAGGAAGACTATGAGGAGAGAATCAAATTGATTCCCATAGACGGCGTCAAACTAATAATGCACAAAAATAGATTTATAAACCACTTGTCGAGTAATTAATGTAGATAATAAATGTAGTAAATATAAGGTGAGATCAACACAATCAACACACAGATGTATAATGGTTCGGTCAGGGTGACCAACTTTATTTTGAAAACGGTGGCCGATGGTCTTTATTGATGAAGTAATAGGTAAGAGAGATAGTTGTGTAAGGTGTGTTGAGAGATGCCTCCCATGTGGAGAGAGCGTAAAATTTATAGGTACAAAGCCTTAGTTGAGGCGGTGGTTGTAGAGGATAGGTGACTAGTTTTTCGGGGAGGATAGTTACAACTAAGATAGGTATAATTAGAGATAGTCTTGATCTTGGAGAGTGGCTATCCCGATGGCTACTCCCAATATGCACTAATCTTCTTGGAATCCTTGAACTTTGAACTGAACCGAATTCATGAGCTGGGCTTGGTATGCTTTGTAGCTAATTTGAACTTAATTAATTGGGCCTAACCAAGTTGGATCTGGGCTCATCACTCTTTATAGAATCCCATTAGTGATCCGTCTCTCCCTTAAGTAGATAGGTAGCTAGCCCAACCTAGAGAACCGCAACAATCCCCATGCTATCACACATCTTCCTAATCCTTCTAATCCATTTATCTGTGTCCATTGGATTAGGACTTCCTTAAAAAGTGGGCAGGCGCTACCTCAAGAATTCTCTTAACACATTCATCCTCCTAGAGCCTTGGTAAACAATCAGATCTATGACCAATGGCTGTAAAAACTCATTTTGGTAGTTCTTCCCATTCTGAATTTTGCCAAGGTAGTTAATTCCCTNTCTTTGTAAACAATCAGATCTATGACCAACGGCTGTAAAAACTCATTTTGGTAGTTCTTCCCATTCTGAATTTTGCCAAGGTAGTCAATTCCCTTATGCACTGGTAGATACCATTCATGGCTTCCTGGGTTTGATTTCCAACTTGGTTAGTCGTACGTCCACGTCCTCTTCTATCCTTCATTCTACACATCAAGCATAGTTTAGTTTCCTTAGCCACTTATCAATATAAACTCACACTAAATGCATAAACATATAATTCTAAGTTGATTCAAGCCTAACGTTCCTTCAACCTAACCCAACACTCCTGTGATAGTCTACAACTTATAGCTCTAATATAAGACCTAAAGCCTAGGCTCTAATACCACTCTATAATACCCCAAAATTCACTCTGAAATGCATTAACAAACTACACAACATCCAATCATGAGAGCATCTAAGAATAACAATTTGAATAATAAACCATCCATTGACTCGATAAATAATAAAACCAATGTCAATAAAACATAGTTAATTTCTCATATACTTCTAAACCAAATAGTATCTTGTAGCGGAATAAATAAAACTATTTAAAATATTGTTTCATAACCAACTATCAAAATCTAAACTAGGAAGAAGCATTTCTAAGCCTCCAAGTTGGGATCCACATACTTATACTGCTCGACCTCGAAGTTAACCTGCTCATCTAATCTGACATCCTCCTCTATGAAAAAAACTATAAATGTTGTTGTAGGGGGTGAGCAAACTTCAATAGGAAATCCCTCTCAAATCCAAACAAGGTTTTTAAAGCATAAATTAGGGAAATATCTTTGAAATATAGCATTTATAACTTTTGGAAGTAAAACAATGTCAGGAATTAGAGTAAATAGAGAATAATTCGGTAAACATCATTTAAATGTATTCATGTATCTCATGTATTTTGGTTGGTTCTTAAAAATCTATTTGACGAACCTACCTCATTCACTCACCACAAACACAAACCATCTAAATCATTCCCTACAAGGCCACATAACAAAGCACTTTAGGAAGGGTGTGTATCATCTCATACAACATTGACGAGTCCATTCCTAAGAAGGGTATACCATCCATCAGCCTCAAACCTATGTGAATAATAATGGTTGGCCTCGCAAGAAAACAACCTCGTACAAATGGTAGGCAACCATTTTGCCCCACTAGGATAGGCTAACCTCTAACACTCTAAGATAGCTTTCGAAGGCAATCCAAGTTCGTCACTCCCAAACCATACAAGATATAAATATCACAACTTTATCAAAAATTGTATACTCAACCAATCAAAATTCTCATCAAAATCCGTGTATCATAATTTCACAATTCTCAATGTAAGAGAATGAAGGAATTAAAATATGCAAGAGATTGTATCAAAAAAACTTTCATAATTACAATATAAAAAATTCCTAGGGTTTTGCCAAAATAACTCAATTTCTTGGAGATTACACGAGTATTTGGACATAAACATGGTTTATTCAAGAATTGGAATTTAGAAATTAAGAACCAATGTGTTTATGCATAAAAACATGTATTTGAAAAAACTAGGGTTCTGGGAAATCAAGAACAAGAATTTCTGGAACATAAAACATGTATTTTGTTCAAAACAACTTTTCAATTGGAATAAAATCAATAATTAACAATTATATAGCATATAATTATCAAGAAGTTATATATATAGTACCTAGCCTCGACAAAAGAATTCAAGAAGAATCTCTTACCTTAGTCTGATGTTTATGCGTAACTCTAGCGTGTTCTATCCGTTCACAACGTAAAAATGCTTCTGAATCTTGCATTTTCTCCTTCTTTCTCACTCTTTAGGGTATTCTAGGGCCAAAGACTACTGAAACTGACCTAAGGGACATCCTTAGGGTATTTATAGGGTCAAAATCTGAACAATCAATGTCAGTCTGATCTTTGTAAAAATCGCACTTACGTTCAAACATACCGTGTTCGAATGTAATTGGTCATTCGAACATTCCTTACTCTCAGCATATTGATTTCTGTTAGACTTTCTATCAGACACCAAATTACTGTAACTATGCCTCCATTCGAACGTGAGTCCNAGAATACCCGTGATTACCGCATAATCTGATACCACATCGTTACACCCCATTCATTGAGATCATAACAAAGGAATTTGGACAAAGTCTCCTTTGCATGGGAGCTCTACCCAACAGATAACCTGTACATACATTATTCATATGACCATTCTAAGGTTCATATCCCAAAGTCTAGGACTTAAAATTTAACCATTTGATGAAAAAAAAAGGAGGAGACTTGAGAAAATATATGCATTCTACTTCTAGGAGTGAAGGGGTGAATAGTTATGAGTTACATGGAAATGGTTGTGTAATGTGATGTTTTATCTTTAGATAGCTCTTTGGNCAGGTGAAATACCAAGGCAGTATCTAGTATTCTCCTCTAACCATTCCCAAAGATACTTCCCAAGATTGAAAACAAATTTGATACTCTCTATATCCTTATTCCTAAGCCATTTATTATTCATGCGACATGGTTTACACAATATCCATTATTATAAATATATAGGGGGTTTACAGTTGTTGCCTTCATGCACCTTGCTCACTAGATTTTGCTCCTAACATAATTTTTCTCTTGGGAGTCATGAATNATAACCTAGTAAAGTTCTATTTGATCCCAAGAGGATATTAATGATGCATGACTTATGTGATTAAGGATAGAAATAGGAATTGTTTCATATGGATGGGTGATTTCCTTTTATGGGATCATGCTAAAGTCCTTTCTTTCAATTACCGTTTATTGTTTCTAACATGTGGGCATCACTTTGTTTTGAATAAAATATCTTCTACTCATGTAAACTATGAGTGATGAACTACCATAATCTGAGAGATTCTTTTAGAGAAGTNGAAGAGTTTCAATGTTTTAAAGAAGTTGATAAGTTGCAATCGTTGTGGAGAAGACGACATCCTTTTGTAGGTTGGTAGTCATGTTTGAAAGGTGCAAGTGGCACTCGAACGCATGCAATAAGGTGGTGGAATATTAAAGTTTGTGTTCAGACAGTTCGAACGACATTCAGACAGTGCCTATTCTCTAGAATTTTGAATCATAAAAAAGAACATGCGTACAAATAGTGCAAATGGCATATGGATAGTCTCTATTCACCGGAATTTGATAATTTAGAGTAATAACATGCGTCCGGATGGAACCAAAGACGTCTAAACATTCCAATGTCTCCAAAAAACGAGTTTTTGGGTTCAAAAAGTGGTGAAAGAATTGAAGGTAGTNGCTAGGGATTTGAAGTCTTGTTGTATGGCCTAAATACAATCGTGAGTCCTACAGAATGAATTTACATATAAGTTTAGTTTATTTTTTGACTTTGTTTCTTCCTATGGACTAGTACGAGTCAGGTTGAAGGGTGTGATTACCCTAAATATTGCATTTTTATCCTATCATTTGTGGGTAAATTGTCACGAATTTAGACTTAATTATATGAGATAAATATTATATTTAATTTTATCATGATTTAATTGGTGTTTTTCTATTTTGTAGACGAAATGGAAAGATTAGGAGGTAAATAGGCAAACATTGGAGTGGACTACACAAAGGAAAAGAGAAAATTGAAGATTGAAGTTCAGAACACTACGTCCAGACAAAATTTTATCCATGTCCGGATGGGAGATGTTGCATCAGAGGCAAGACTCAAGCTAAACTCCCAGCATTACATGTCTAGACATCAATAATCCACATCCAGATGCGTGTTGAACCACCTGTCACATCCAAACATCACTTAATCCATGCTTGGACTTGTGTC